CATTTACAATTGCATCAAGAAGAATAAAATACCTAAGAATAAATCAAACCAACTACTGAAAACTATGATACTCCAGAGAGAAATTAAAGAAGACACCAATAAATAGACATCTATCCTGTGCTCATGGGTAGGAAGAATTAATATTGTCAAAATGGTCAGCCTGCCCAAAGCAATTTACAGATTCAACGCAATCCTTATGAAATAACAGCAGCATTTTTAAATGAACTAGAACAAATAATCCTAAATTTCATATAGAATTGCAAAAGACCCTGGAAAGCTAAAGCAATCCTGAGAAAGGACAAAGCTGAGGGTATCATGCTCCCTGATTTCAAGCTATACTACTAAACACAGTAATCAAAACAGTATGCTACTGGCACAAGAACAGATTCATAGGTCAATGGAACAGAATACAGAGAGTCTGGATAGAAAGCCACACATACATGGTCAATTAAGATATGATAATGGAGCCATGAATATACAGTGGGGAAAAGACAGCATCTTCAACAACTGGTGTTAGCAAAACTGGACAGTTACACGTAAGAGAATGAAGCTGTATTATTGTCTCACTCCATACACAAAAGTAAACTTGAAATGGATCAAAGACCTGAATGTAAGTCATGAAACTATAAAACTCTTAGAATAAAACATAGGCAAAAATCTCTTGAACATAAGTCTGAGCGATTTTTTCCTGGACACATCTCCTTGGGCAAGGGAAATAAACAATATAAAAAATGAACAACTGGAACTCCATAAAATTTAAAAGCTTCTATTCAGCAAAGGGCACCATCAGCAGAACAAAAAGGCAACATACAGTATGGGAGAATATATTCATAAATTATTTATTCAGTAAGGGGTTAACATCCAAAATATATAAAGAACTCAATACCACTCCCCAAAATAACCCCATTAAAAAATGGGTGGAGAACTTAAACATTTTTCCAAAGAAATACAGATGGCTTAGTATTATCTATTTTAATTGTCAAATAATTGCCAAAAAGAAATATGAGGGAAAAATGGGTAACTTCATTATTAAAAAAATACCTTTGTAATTTTATGAAGCTAAATAATTAACAGATGAAATTTATCTATGTATTACATGACATTTTCCCACAAAGTATAATAAATAAGAAAAAAGGAGCAGTCTTGAAGGTTTTAAACTGAGTTGTGTAGTTATTTCTAGACAATATTTAATTGAATAGTTTCATTGACTCTGCTCTTCATCACCTGCATGCATGGCCAGAGCTGGAATAGTGGGGTCCAAGATGCCAAATACTAACCCTGGCTTGTAGAAGGGAATTTGGGCTGGGGTGTTGGGGAGGGGGGCAGGTCACAGCTGGACAGGTACATCCAATGGGCAATGGGCGAGAAAGATCACATTTGGCATCTATCAGTTGTGTCAAAGGGCCTGTCAATCACTTCCCTGTATCCTTCTGCCATTTTGGGGCACATCATTAGGTAAAAAATGTCAACTTTTATAATTTTATATATAAAATGAAAAATATAGGTAAAAAATACTGGTAGCATGAAAATTTGGATGCTTAGTTAAAAAAATGAGTATCTGAACTAACCACCTACCTTAAGAATGAAGCACAAATCCTGTTCTATTAGGCTACGTTCAACTTACCACTATTCTTTCACAGGTCATGTTTTCGGTGTTGTATTTCAAAATGCTTCACCAAACCCAAGATGACTTAGATTTGCATAGTTTGCAGTATACACTTACAATGAATCTAGGTCCGTCTTAAAATTACACTATTCTATATCACATGCAGTGCAGGGATCTTGTGACACACCATTCCAATACCTCCCTCTCATACCTTATAACATTGCTATGATTCATTTCACTTACCCATAAGCTCTAATGTCCCAAGATATTGTTACTATTATAATTTTCGACAAACTGCTATCAGTTAGCTCAACTGTGAATAAGAAAATTAAAATAATTTACCTTCATTTATTCCTTCTCTACATTCTTCTTCATTTAGATCTGAGTTTCTGACCTATATTGTTTTCCTTCTCTTTAAATATCTTTTAATATTTCTTGTCAGGTATGACTGCTGGCATTGAACTCTCTCAAAGTTTATTTGTTGGAGAAATTTTTTATTTCCCTTACACTTTCGAAGGATAATTTCTCTGGATATGGAATTCTAGGTTGGTAGTTTTTTTCTTTCAACACTTTGAATATTTCAATTCAAGGTCTCCTCTTTGATTTTCTGCAGTTTGTATAGGATATGCCTAGGTGCAGATCTTTTGTCCTCCTTGGTGTCTCGTGAGCTTCCTGGATCTCTGGTTTGGTGCTTGCCCCTCCCAATCTGCTGTTATGCTCACAGGCACAGAGGACGACAGCATAAACCCACGAAATGTGCGAAAGAGTAGGAGTTACACTGCTAGTGGGCAGTATGGATGGGGAACCTACAGCTTGTAATAATTCAAAATGATGAATTAAACATGACCTTGAGGCTGTGGTTTGGGGCTAAAACTGGGAAGAAGCAGGTTTCCAATATGCATGTCTGAGTAGGGTAAGAGACCTTATGAGTGCAGCAGAAAGAGCGCTGGACTAGGATTCTGGAAATTTTTCTCCTGATAAAAAAGAAGTAATTGCTGAATTGGCATAAGATGAAGCTAGCAACTTGGTGGTATAAGGTCGCCTTCCAACTGAAACTCTGTGGTCCTAAGAGCATCCTCCAGTTGAGAGGGCTTTGTCTGAGTTGGAAAACCAGGCTTTGATGGTTTTGATTTATGTTGATTTCCCACGTTTCCGTGCTCCCGATCTGTGTGCTGTCAGTCACTGTAGCTGATGCAGGACAGATGTTACACCCTCCCTTTCCCCTAGGAACTATCAGTTCTATCACATGGCATATAACAAAGTCCGGAGGTCACCAACAAAAGCAACTACTGGAGCTCCCAGCACTTTTCCTGAGGCACATTCCTGATACCATGGCACCTGTCTCTTCCATCTCCTGTGGCACGTCCCAGAATCTCCCGCATAAGGAGCTCCTTAACTTTCTAATAGAGCTCTTCACAAACACACACAAAGCATAATAGTAATATCTGCTGTTACAAACATTTCTGATTATTTTAATAAATTGTCCTGTTTGTCTTTCAGTCTTCAAGTCCTAGATTTAAGGACACAATGGAAAGTTCGCTCGTTGCATTCTGTGGATCTTGGCAACTTCCTATGACAGATATTACTTCTTTTAGTCTGATTGATTCTAAATAGCCAGTGCAGAAATTCTCACAAGTACCCCAGTGCATGGTCTTCCACTTACACTTGTCATTTTCTTTCGTGACATCAGGGTTCAAATACAGAGATCCCTGTGTAGGACAGCAGTTTTGTTGGATTGCAAATCAGGTGCCCCAAATGGGAAAAGGGGACTCTGGGCAGAAGTAAAATTGATGAAATGCTAATTCTAAAAAAAACAAAAGGCCAGTATAGAATGAGAAAGTTGTGGACAGGACAGAGAAAGCCTTTGAACTCTCTACAACAATGTGTTGCCTTCTGGCTTTTTTTTTTTGACATTCTTAAATCATAGACCCCTCATTTGCCAAATAGGAATAATTCATTTAACTATTTTCGGCATTATTCCAGGAGGTGGGGACACAATAGTGAACAATACAAAGTTATCTCTCCTCACTGAGCTTCCATCCTAGAAGACGAGGTAACAGATAGTAGTACTAGCTAGTGAGGTATGTTTTGAAAACTATGGAGCATTCATATAAAGCACTTAAAATAGTACCTGTCATTCTAAGAGCAAAAGGTGTAAACAACCCAAAAGTCCATCAACTAATTAATAAATAAGCAAAATGTGGTCCCTCCACACAATGGAGTATTATTCAGGCATAAAAAAGGAAATACTGGCATATTCTACAACATGGATGAACTTGGGGGGGACATTATACCAAGTGAAAAAAGGCAGATGCCAAAGGTCACATATTCTATTATTCCATTTATAGGAAATATCCAGAATGGGCCAATCCATAGGGACAGAAAGCAGACTTAGTGGTTTCCAGGGGCTGGAAGTAACAGGGGATGGGGAAAATGACTGCTTAACGGGTATGGAGTTTCCTGTTGGGATGAGAAGAATGTTCTAGAACTAGAAAGTGGTCATCACTGCACAACATAGTGAATGTAGTGATTGCAACGAATGATACATTTTACATTATGTGTACTTTACCACATTAAAAAAAACTGGCATTATACATTTAAAATACTATTCAATAAGCCTTAGAAGTTATTTTTTATGGCAAAACAAACAAATATATCTTTCAAACAGGAAATTCCCTAGGGAAATAAATTATTAAATAAGTTTTTAATCACTGGAATTCTGTGCAGCCTTTGAAGACAGTTAACATGGGCTGTAAGTACCAACATGGAAAATATACAAGATATATGGTAAAAAAAAAGAGCTACAGGTGAGCATGTTATGATTTAATTTAAAATATACATGCATGCCTAGAAAACAAATGGATTACAAATATACACTTAAGAAGAATGAGAAAAGTGGTTGCCTCTAGGATGACTATATTAGGGCACCAGGGATGGTCTGTTTTTTATACATATACTCTTGTGTATTGATTGTGTGGGTGTGCGCTGTGCATGTGTACAATACACATTTTGGAGTTTCAGATGGTAAGCTGAGTGAAGAGGGTGACATGGCAATAAAAAAAGTCCTCATCTGCTCAATTTGGCATTACAAGAAATACAGAATCTAGAATAAGGGAGGTAATTATCAATCTTGAGAATGAAAACTTGCTGGCTTCACACTCTTGATGAGGAATAAAATTTGACTTGTCACTTTCTGGTGTAAAAACCCTTCAATACCTGGGAGCGGTTTCTGCAGGTGGTCAGAGACATGGCAAGTTCTTCTGTTCAATCAGTATTTGTTCAATTCCCAAAGTCCCAAGTAATGGGTAACCTGTTAAAGCATGTCTTTAAAACTGAAATTAATATAGAAGCACAAAATAATTACGAAAATCCATTTACAAGTCTGAACTCTTAAAAAAAAAAAGTCATTTTATTGATCCTTTACCATACAAAATTTATTCAAATTACACCCATTTGAAGTGGTAAGATCACAGCTAGAGAACAGGTTACCCTGTAACAAATCTATTTACAAAATCCATCATAAAAGCTTTTTTTTTTTTTTTACATTATATTACATATTTTCTTTTTAAACTAGCATACAACACAAAGCTAAACTGATTAGTAGTTTGCCTACTCCCAGTTTTGGGAGGAATACTTCCTTTTGACAAAATCATGTGCCGCCCTCCTTCTGCGGGGCACCTTCCTTCAGAGCCCTCCTCTCACACACACACGACGTGTCATGCACACACTGAGTTCTCACTCTCTTTTTCCTGAAAGCTAAAGCTTTAAATACTGCAATTTTATTTACAGATCTACACTTACAACAAAAATGAAAACAAGAACCACAGCGAAGAAACACAAGAAAATATTAATTAAAAAAATTACAAACCACCTAGAAAATATTCTGGCAGTGTTTACAAATTAATTGCTATTTTTTTACAAAACTGCTAGATAATGAAAACGTGAGTAGACTACATACCAACTTAAATAAAACGACTGCTATGCACAGCTCTGTACATACACACACACACCTAACACTGACAGCTCATGTGTTACCTTTACCCTTTACACATTTTATTTTCTAAGGCTCACGCAGTCATAATTCGCACATTTGTAACTTTTAGCCATTTCATGTGTGAGCTTTAATAGCAGCAACTCAATGGTACCAGGAAACCTGCATACTTAGTACTTAAAAGTAACACAAATCCTGTAGCACTAACCCACTTGGTGTGCCAGACACTTTATCAAAGAGAAAATGACTAATGCAAACGGAATACAGTATGAACATCTAATTCATGTGCACCAGTTATGCCCATTAACTGGAAAAAATCTTATGCATGAAGGAACTTTTAAGACTTGTTAGTATTCCTTTCATTTTTAAAACAATAAATACGGCATTACATTACGAAAAGGTTTAACGAGGAATTCAACAGAACACACGAACAACCTAGCCAGGTGAGCTCAGTCTTTAGACTTTGGGAAAAAATCAGCTTTGTGCAGCTGGCAAGGAGAAGCACACAGAGCTGGAAGCAGAGGCAGCTAACCGGACAAGATAAATATGGGAACTGGGGAAAAGCTTGGCGTAAGTGGTTTCCCATACAGGAAAAAACCCCACAGTGCATTTCCAGTAGGCACTTGACACAAAGCTCCCTCCCTCCCCGCCCCAGGGATTCTCCACCACACGGGATATTTTGTACCGGGTCCAGTGTGTGTGAGGGGAGGAGGCTGGGATGGGGGCCGGAGAAAAAGGAGGGTGATCTGCACCTTTGTTTTCCTTCCCAAACGCACACCCACGCACACCCACACAAACAGCTTAAAGTGCTGGGTCCTTGTTTTGATCCCACCGCCGCTTTGCATACCGTGAAAACCCACCGAGAGAAGGCTGGGGGGCTCTCCTGGTTTTCCGCTGCGTTTTGTTTTCCTTCAGGGATGTTTTCCATTCAATCAAACACGTGGTTCCAGGGTTACTGTGTCAGGAATAGGGCCTTTCAATGTAACTGTTCGTTTTGAGGTTTTTACAAATGGGTCCCCCACTCCCGCGGGCTTCGGCATCCAAGGAGTGGGCGCCAGGCAGTGAGGCCGCCCGCAGCGGGAGCGGCCGGGGCCGGGGCGAGCGGGAAGCCCTGGGGATCTGCTGGCCGGGGCGGGGCCGGAATTGGGGGCGGGGCCTGGACCGGGGCACCGCCGCCCCCCGCCACCGACCCTGGCATCCCGCTCCGCCAGCTCCGCCCGCCCCTCCCGGAGCCTTGCGTCCCTGAGTGCGGCGGCCGGAGCCCTTTCCGCGGCCAGGCCCGGTTGTCCTCCCGGGAAGCAGGCGCGGGGCACCGCTTCCGCAGGGGCTCAGAAACCTGGGACCACACGGTTTGGACACTCCGATCGGTAGAGGTTCTCTACCTCTGCTTAAACTATTTGAGTGAGCAAAAAAACCGCTTCAAAGTGGGCAATTAGATTGAAATGGTGATGGTGCCACAGGAATGCTTACATGGCAGCTAAAAAAATAAGTCTAAAACAATCCCACAAAGAACTAAGTCCGCATCTGCTACAAATCAACTTAAATTCACAAATGGGGTGGGGGCAGGGGAGCAGGAGCGGTTTACGGAGACAGGAAACCCACCGCAGCCTAGAGGCCGACCTCTATCTACCCTTTTCATCTGCAACGAGTATCTGAACACAGGGTCTTCGTCCGAAAGGCTGCGAAGGTCCTCCTGACCTCCGAGTGGGACACATGGTCAATAGCTTAGGCTGTTATGACAGTAATTTAAATATTCCTAAGAAGAGCTGAAGAAATCCATTCCATACGTTTGCATGACTTCAAGTGCAGAGTCCCTGCCGTTCCGTTCCACGCGAGCGGACCCCAGAGACATGCGTTCTGCGGAGAAGGCACGGCTTTAAATGCTGCTAAGGAAGCTTGCTGTTTCCGAGCGGGCCAGGCGGCCAGACCCCATTCTACAGCGCATCCGTTAGGCACAGCAAGCCAGTCCGGGAGGAAGGGAGGGAAGCACGGGTGAGAGACACCTGATTGCACATTTCTCGCTTGCTGATCGTCCAGGAGATTTTGGAGCCTGGGGCAGAGCAGGGCTTCCCCGGGGAGCCTGCAACTGTGCGTTTAGACAATTTCTTGTTTAATTCGTTAAAACATTAGCTTTGTTCTGAAGTCTGCAGTTTACTTCATGATTCTATCCTGGAGGAAGAAGGTGGGAAGGGACGACACTGCATGACAGATGTTCTGGTTCCATAATAAAAAATATGGGGCTATAAGGGGGTTCCCACAAAGCAGAATCAACTGCACATGAAGTCTTCCACCAGCGGGAGCTTTTCCAAATCGTAGGCATCGAAGAGGTCGCTGATGCCTTCTTCCTCCCCGAGGCTTAGGAGATAGTCTTCTTGGAGCAGGGGAGGCAGCAAGTTCACAAACGGCCCTTCTAGGCCGGAAGGAATCTGGTCTTCCGTCTGCTGTAAAAGGTTGGCCGGGGAGGCCAGCGGGGAGAGGTTCGCCATAGAAACCGAGCAGTCGCTCTGTCCTGAGTTGGTTGCAGCCAAGTCTGAAAGGACAACATTAGTGGGAACAGACATGGTCAGCGTTACTACACAGACTGCCTTCTCTTTGCCGACCAGCTCCGTTAGCGGTGACTCGTCAGCCTGGATGGTCCACTCGCTCATCTTTTAAAATGCCTACTGTTAGCAAACAAGAATACAAATAGCTGCAAAGATTAGAGGCTAACAAGTTCAAAACCTTCTGTCTGGTATTAATTAGTCACTGTTCCGCTTACAACAAAACACAGCAAAACATACAGAAAAGTTGGCTCCTCAGGAGAGACTCACCGATTTTAGCTCCGTCTTTTTTGAACCAAAGATGCCTCTAAACATGTAAGTGATAAGACATATCCACTTTGAATTTCTATGATGACAAAAATGGTCTTTTGTTTTACCATTGGAGACACTGTATTTTTTGGCTCGGTATTGACTCAGACCTATGCATGTAAATCACTCCTATTCTTGTTGCTTTATTGGGAGATAGTAGGGAAAACAACCTAAATGCATATCCCTAGCCTAAAACCCGGGGTGGGTGGGAGGGGGGGGGAGACTGCAAAGAGCTTCCTGCGCTATAGGCGCAGCGGAGGGAACAGATTTATTCTCCTGGGGTTTGCCTCCCGTTTCCCCATCACACTGAGGGGTAAGGGGAAGGCAATTAAAATAAAATTTTTGACAAAAGGCTTTTCTCGCCAAACTTTTTTCATTTTCCCTCTCTGATACTCTCTGCGCATCATTCAAAGGTGTGTGGCCACATGTAGCTGATGATTCACCCAGACAGCTCACGGCTTCAGTCCTCATTTGAGCTGGTTTTCAGAAACGCTGTTAAGGGAATGGCTTCCACCAAAAGCAAAAGCTGAAGGGACTCTACGAGGGGCCAGAGGAGCCCTTCACTCAAGATCATTATTTCACTCCGGAAACTAGTCACAATGCCTTTTTTAAAAAGCTACCTTAATAACATTAGTAACAGAAGGTTTGCTTCTTGCCTAGGCTGTGGCTCTCTTGCCACCGTCACATGTAACACAGTTACCAAATGACAAAGGGCAACACTTACCTTTGGAAGTGGGTTTAGGGATATTCCCATTGTGGTCTTGGTTGGTTGTTTTCACTGGGCTGTGCGTTTCGGTCTCTTCTGGACACAGATAAACCTCAATGGGTCCTTGGGTACTTGCCAAATGTATTTGCAGGCTCTAGGGACAGAGGAAACGACGAGTTTAAACTGCAAGTTTTTTGACAGATGACAGCTACAGTGACTTCCACCTAAAAATGGTTAAGTAAGGGTCATTTTCATTGTTCCTTTTGCTTCCTCACTGTTTGTCCACCTCTGTTGGTGGCTGCTGTCCTCCAGAGCGGGGGTCAGTAAGCGATAGCCTGGGGGCCAAATCCAGGCAACCAACAAACGGGCTTTGTAAATCAAGTTTTACTGCTGCCTAGCCCGTTTCCGTGTTTTATGTATTGCCTCTGGTGGCGTTTTCTCATGCTGTAACGGAGAGCTGTGCACTTGTGTGGCCCACACAGCCAAAAATACTGTCTGGCCCTGTAAAGAGTAAGTTTGCTGACTCCTGCCCTAGAGGAGGTGAACTGTGTTCTTTAAATATATTCCATTCATGCAAACTATTGAAAGGCCCTTTAAGGATGCCAAATACAGTATATTCCACGCTATCACTCCCTTAAGGCACAGCTTTTTGACACGGAGCTTTAACAGCCACTGGATAAGTAGTACTTGTAAGCTGGAGGAACTGAGTGTGGTAGGAGAATGCAGCGCACCAATGCTTGGAATTCCTCTTCCAGATCACAGAGCTATAATTACCATTTAAGGTGAGAACTCACCTCTAGATGGGAGCTTGCAGGCTTCATCCTTATTTTATTTCCTATGCATTTTTTTTTTTTACTATCTTTCTTTCTCTTACATAGCCTAGGCCAATATGATCAAACTATCACTGCAACCAGTCACAAAAATTAGCTCCCTCCTTTCCTACAATATTGCAGCTATCAGTTAACTCAAAGTCCCATTTCATTTCTTAAAAGTGAACATGTTATAAATGAAAAGTCTTAAAATGAGCTAAGGTAGGGAGACACTTTAAAATATTTGCCTCTCATGATGAGGACCGTATCCAGGATAATCCACATAAAACTCCCCAACGGTTCAAATCCATGTGAACCACCAGATAACAAATTATAAGAAAGAGAAAGTACAAGAAGCGCAGGGCGTCACAAACTACTTTGAATGCCCTGCTTTTCTACGATTAGATGTTTTTGACCCTCAATACCTGTCAAACTGTTGCAATGTTTTAAAGTGAGGATTAAGTAAAGTAGATGGGAAAGAACTATCAAGTTTTTAGGATAATATAGACTTTTTAGTTCCATGACTTTTCAATTCCAGGCATTACAAAAGGATTCGTGCAGATGAACAAAGACGCTGTCTCCTTACCTCTATTGGGTCAGGCACTTCAAGTCGTGTTTCTGGAGGGGCTTTCACAACTATAACAGTGTGGTCTTTAAGGCCACTGATTTTTCGAATATCTTGATATGTAACATAAGCTAATGTAGCAAGGGTTAAGGAAACATTCCAGCTAACGGCCTCAGATGCAACCAGTATGAATATAACAAAATAGACACACAGTAAAAATCTCAAGTATCTTTTGACTTGTAAGAATATACCAGTATCTCCTCCTAGGTCTTTAGATACATGAGATCTCCCACGACTCTTCTTTTCTGGTAGGCATTCTAAACAAGTGAAATGTATAGTTTTTCCCTGCCCATTTCTAAAAATGAGATAGCTATTTAAAATATTAAAATAAGCACAGAAACAGAATAGTCAAACTATCAAAAGATAAACCAAAACCCAATCTGGTCTGGGATTTTCAAGCCAGGTGCCTCCGGAGCACCGGTCTGTGTGAACGTCAGCTGAGTGTCCCATTGCTCCGATTCAAGGATGGCAGATCCCCATTCACGGAAAAAATGTAAGCTTTATTAACCAGTTGTTTGGAAATTTCAGGAACTTCTGCCACCTGACTGAGCAAGTGTCAGCGGCCACCCAGAAGAACGCATGTGTGGCGAACAGACACACGAGCGGGAAGACTCAGCGCACAGCTCAGGCAGACGCGCGTTAGATGCACCTTGGCTGGCTGTGACCATAGTACTGCCTACTGATAGGAGCGTCATTCTTTCTGTTAGAAAATTGTCCTATGTGCATTATTAACTATCAATACTTCAATGTTCACAAGGAGGAAAGCAGCTCTCAGATGTTCTGCAGCCTGAATGAATTTGAGAAACACTGTGTCTTAGGGGAAAAGAGTGAATAGTATTTTGTAAGTCTTTTTATAAGAAATAGCACTCCTACCCTGAGAACTGAACAATTCTTTTAAGAGCCCTGGCAGCCAGACCTAGGGGATAATCATGAAGAATATGGTACATTATATGATAAAAATATTCATGCAAGCTTGCCTAAAGAGACAGGCTTTTACTTGGCATGAAAAGAGAAGAGGTTGCATAGCTTTCTTATATAAGGGACTCGGAGGAACACAGTTAGTGTACAATGTCTTTAGCCAGTGCTTTTGTATGTTAACCCACAAAAAATGCCTAGGATACAATAGCAAATCACAACTCAATGAAGGCATTTCTGCAGGTAACAGAGCAAAAAGAGTGTGTGAGCTAACATGTTTAAGACAGAAACAGAGCTTAGGGAGCCAGAGGAAATAATGTCCCTTAGAATAGTCGCTTCTTACTGGAAATTGAAGAGTATGAACCTACTGTCCAGAAGAAAGCACATACACCCCAAATCTACATGTATAGTTAGGGGGGCCTCTATCACAGCCTCTCTTAAGTGTCACCAGTGAGACAACAGCCAATTCAGTGTTGGGCTCGAGAGGACAGCCTATGCAGGATTCTGGGTTTTAGGTCACCATCTGTCTCACTAAGGAAGCCAACTGCTGCCGTTGCAGAAGATTTGACAGTTCTGAATTGTTACTGAGAACACTGGGGAAACTGATAGTCAGGTACTTAGCCCACAGCCCACTGTCAAAAAGCTATGTGACAAGAACTTATTAAAATAAAAACTCATCTACAATTACTCAACATGCTGCAGGAAGGAAAATTTCAACACATTTGTGAACAAGCTGTACCAAACTCGGAACTGAATGAATTGAAATAAATTGTGCAAACACACTCTCTAATCTTACAAACTTAGAAGTATGCAGAAGTACTTCCATTGTGCTCCTGAATCTGCTTCTTGGGTTAGCAGCCCCCTGCAAGGAAGCTTCTATTTTCCTGCCACAAAAGCCCCAGAGAAAGTTAGGGTTAGGTGACAGTGATGTAAGCTACATGTTCCAGAGAGCTGCCAGTCAGGCGTAACCACATCTCCTCGATGGGGCTCCCAACTGAACAATGAATGCAACAGCCTCACTAGAGAGAATCTTGTTTCTTCTCTTGCAAACCTGCTCTGGCCACCACTGGGGCCCCAGTCACACGCCTCTTCTCATTGAGTGCCAGCTGACAAGGCTGACCCTTCAGTCAACAGGAACCGAGTGACTGCAGTTTCAAAAAACTGCCTAAGTTGGAAAATAAATGTCCTCATACCCTCCAAAGGAAAGCCTATTAGAGTTGATACATGGGAAAAACTGGACAGGACACATTTTATTTCATATCTGACAAAGATAAATGTGGAATAATCAGAAGTTGGGAACTAAAATTAGAGATGGGGTAACTTAAAATAGTGGTTTTTTCTTCTGCTAATAACTGAGAGTATCATGAAATCTCCTTGTCAACAGAATGAAGTGATCTCTCTCCTCCCTCATCTGAAGTGAGATGATGCAGTAAATTCTCCTGAGATGGTCAACAGATTGTCAGCTGGCACAGAGAATGAACTGGCTTTTTATATTTTTATTTCCAAGGACCAATGTTTGTAGATGAATGGGTAAGTTGAGATGTCTAGACCTTGAGATACCTCTGAAATGAGTTTTTGGTATTGTGAATCAGTGTGATCACTTTAAAAGTTACAGAACAACTTTCCTATACTTTTAATTCTTGCAGCTGCAGCTCAATCACATTCAGCAAATTCCAATTGCTCTGGGATCTGATGAAAAGAAAATAGAACGTGAGAACCCCAACGTGACAGCTAACGCCCACCAAAAATCTGGAAAGCCAACGATGAATCTGCTGAACGTTGTCATTAATATTAATACTGGCACCTTACGTATCTTATAATAGTGTAGCCTTACACTATGAGTGTATCCACATGTCCCAACCACACATGAAGTAAATGCTCTAAAAAACAGTTCCCATCTGGCTACTACAATAGGTATGATAAGGATCCAGTCCCACGACTAGCCTTCCCTAAATACTGACTTATAAGCAAAGGAAAGGGAGTTGACACACACACACACACACACACCTCTCCCACGCTTATAGCAAAGGTAAGGGAGTTGACACACACACACACACACACACCTCTCCCACGCTTATAGCAAAGGTAAGGGAGTTGACACACACACACACACCGCTCCCACGTTTATAAGCAAAGGTAAGGGAGTTGACACACACACAAGGGAGTTCACACACACACACACACACACCTCTCCCATGCTTGCACAAAACCAGTGTAACACTCTACCTTGTGCACACAAGTCCAACTGGCCCCTCTGGGAAGACTCTACAATGCACTAACCCCCAGTGAACAGGGGCGCAAAGGATATCTTTGATTCTCTGACTCCTCAGTTAACAGTTTGAGGTCCAGGGTGCAGCTCTGGATGAGGTCATCTAGTTTCTTCTCTTCCTGGCTGAGCTCGGTCACTTCTCTGGACAGGCCTTGGTACTGGGCCAGGAGGCCCCCATCCTCAGACAAACTGCAGCCCCTGGAAGCCCAAACACAGACTCTTGGTGGCCACTCCAGAGGCCAGCGCGGGAGGTGGGGGACGGGTAAGTGTCCCCTCTGGGTACAGGAGGCCACAGCTTGTTAGCCAGGTGTTAAAATCTGAACATTTATATGTATCTTTTCACACACAGAGTCCTCCACTTTTCACACCACAGAAACACGCCGCTATTCCCAGGATCCCTTCCTCCAGGAGGCCTGCTTCCTCAAAAGGCTCCAACGCAAAGGGCGCAGGAGGCAGCTTCTCCCTCCACAGGCTCCCAGGGGGCAGAGAAAGGAAGGAAGGCGATAAAGGACAGGAAGACATCGGAAGAAAAACTTGGAAGATGACTCAGAATTCAATAAAACATCCTGACAGCATGAAAAACCAGGTAATTTCTGAGGGTCTCACACAGCAACTGAAACGGGAAAGGGGGCTAAGGGAACGGACCCGTGCTGCGTGCTATGCGCAGCAGCAAAGACGGCGACAGGATTCTCTAAACTGGGATCACCGAACCACCACAAAACCCCGAACCCCACGGAGGAGCTACCTGTTGATCTCATTACGCTTGGAGCAGTAGTTTGTCAAAGGCCCCATGACAGATTCACTCTTTCCAATAAAGCTTTAATAGTTCCTTCTGAATACCAGCCGCTCAGGTACTCTGCCCAGTCACACGGGACACCTGCACACATCTGATGACGCACGCGGCCGTGAAGGTGACAAGTGCCATAATCCCGGTTTTCCAGAAGGAACTGAGGCTCTCAGGTCTTTGCCTTAATTTTCACAGGAAGTGAGTTAATCTGCCTTAGAGCCATGGACAGACACTCAGCAGCTGTGCACATACACAGACATGTTAACACACAGCCACGGCTGAGCCCCAGATTCTTTTAGACACAAGCCGAAGACGTGCGTAGGCATTCATCAGGTGGAACCCGGGAGTGAGCACAGTGCGCTGGACCCCAGGACCGCTTCCCTGAGGCTCATCGCACATGGACCCTTTCATCTCTGAGAGTATCTAGACACAAGGTCTCTTTGTAAAGAGACTTTGACCTCCTAGCTAAGGATTTGAGGAGGCGAGAGAGGAGGAGAGAAGAGCCGGCGAGTGGAGACCCGAAGCGTGGGTGCCAAGAGGAGGTGGGGGGGAAGGCGCCAGGGCGGCGGAAGGGCCCCCCTCGAGGCCGCAATGCGTACTCACATCCACTGCACGTTGTTTTTGGACTTCTTCTTGATGAGGTGGATGCCTTCCAGGACATTGGTGATGTCGTAAATCCGCCTCTTCTGCACTTTCAGCACCTCTGCGGCCTTGTTCAGATCCAAGACCCCGTCGGGCGACTGGCTCAGCAGCTGGATGAACTTCTTGGTGAGCAGACCAAGGGATGTATCATACCGTGTTTTTTCTGAGGGAGATTTTGGAGCTTAAAGAAAAACAAAAATCCAGCGGGTGGGGAATAGGGGAAAAGGTAAAGAATGAAGGGTTTCTTTGCAGTCAGGCAAGCCCTCTTCCCACTGCAGCCCAAGGAATTAGGACCAGAAGCCAAGGTATGTTGCTGTTTTTGGTTAAGTTACAGAAAGCTATGGAATCACTGTATTAGACTAGGAAGGGACAGTAAAAGCTTCTGTCCGATTAAAGCATCCGACTGAACTCTCAGCTGATCCTATTTTGGCTTACCCCCTCCCTGGGTCTAGTGAAGGGTCTCACACTTAGCAGGTGCTCAAAAACATCTGCGGAATGAATGAGACGTTGCAGTAGCTTCACGGGACCAGCACTTGTGGAGCTGAACCCAACAGGGCCCGGCTATGAGTCCCTCCAACACACGAGGGCCTCCGACAGACCCAACGCACATGTGTGACTCGTTTAACACCTTTACACGATGCTTCATTTGAATGAAACATAACTGGAAAAGTCTATCAATCCAATCTCTCCATCCCTCTTGAAGGAAATGTCCTTATTTAATATAGTGTTTATTCCCCTGTAAGTGCACAGGTCAAGGGTTTAATCAAGCATGACACACAGTTTGTGGATTGCTTGATTTATAACCTAAGAAACAGAGAGAAGAAGTCTAATTGGGCCTTTACATTAAATGCCAGAGACATAAAGAACTATTTAGCTACTTCCAACCTGCTTTTCTTTCTCCCCCAAAAGCAGCAACGGTCAGATTCAACGGAAAGGGAAACTAGCTGGCATTTACCGGTCTCGTCGATGCCTGCGCTGCTATCTGCTGAGCAGGAGATTCAAGGCTCAGCTGTCCACACCCAGTTAGCCTTAGTCACTAAAGTGATGTCCACTAAGGGAAGTCAACATTAAGTCTGATTATACAGCGGCCGAAGAGCTGGTATCCCGACTTGAAAAGTGGAACCGCCATGTTGAAAGAGGCCTCCCCTTACGTCAGTTACCAGGTACCGGAGCGACCAAACCTTTTGCTGGGTGTCTGCAGACAGTGTGTTTATTTTTTGGATAGGCACAGAAAGTAATGAGAAAGAACGCAACACACCAAAGTAATCACACCTCGGCATTCCTTCAGCCACAAGCCCGGACAGTCGGGAAGCCCTCGCAAGGAGAAGGGATGACAGAATCCTTACTTTTGGGGCTGTCTGGACTCCGTCCTGCGGCTCTTCCTTTGCCCTTGGGGGTTTTTAGACCATCTGAGAGGTACTGATGTCCGCTTTCTCCCAGCTCCAGCCTTCGCTTTGCCTGTGATAAGGAAGTCCACCATTGGTTACTGGCCCCCCCAAATGCTGCAGGCTCCTGCCAGCTCTGCCCACAGCCTAGGGCTCTGCCTCTGGAACTGGGACGTCATGCAAACGTCTCCCTCGTCCCCTGCAATGGTTACCCATCTACATTCAGATGGACAAATGCAGTGACCCTTCAGGACTGGGCTCAAGAGCCACTCAGTTCTCAGTCACTGACTTGGCTTCCGGCCCAAGCTAGGCAAGGAAACAGCAGGCGCCATGGAACCTAAATTCCCCAGTGAGACTTTTCTACCTGTCTCCAACTCTGACTGGGGTGAACCCCCTTCTCTCTGGCCCCCAAACACTGCTTATTTGTATCATAATACTTAATGGTTATAAGAGCTAGTTTACTTATCTGTTTCTCGTTTCCTTTAAGGCAGAGAAACGGTTCCCCATTTATCTCTGTGCACCTAGTGCTTGGCACAGAGCCTGGGGTTCTGTAGGTGTTCAATCACCTCTCTCTGTACATATTCAATGAGAGAAACAGTGACTGAATAGCAACACGACCAGTCACACACGACGGACGGTCATTCATCAGAATAACAAACACTGTGAACACTCCGGTTTCAAACTAGAGTTACTTTCTCCACTTTGGCATCAAATCCAGCAAATGAGAAGTCCTTGCCTAAGTTTTAAATTTAATTTAATGCCCCTGTAGTGTCTTCATGTACTGGCACTGGGCTTAGGGAACACAGGTAGACAAGTCATTTAAGTAACTGTACAGCTGTCAGTGATGTTCACACAGAAGTGGCACCAACCAGAGACCCCACATGGGTTTGAGGCCGTGGCCCACGGAAGCTGCGGGCTGGGGAAATTGCCAGAGATCTGTTGCTAAGGAACTGAGACCTAACTTCAAGGACCAGGACTAGTCAGGATGTGTGACTGTGGTTACCAAGCACCAAATTGTGGCGTGACCAAATCTAAATACTAGATATAAAATCTGCCACATTTGAAAGGCACTTCCATTGCCACAGAATCTTTCAGTCTAGAAAGCAAAGGTCTACCAGATCCAGCTTCTACGGGAATCCATCATAAATGCCTGAATCTGCACCAAAAAGAAATGAGCTGTTCAAGAAGGAACATCATCCCGGAGGATGGACACTGAGGTGGCCATGCTGCCTCTACAAGCAGGACAGGTCTCCCCCAGATCATAACTGCAAAAAACTTCCCTTTAATAATAAATGCACATGGTCATTCAAAGAGCACAAATGGGTTTATGTGGAAAGCCAATGTCTCTCTCCCCTGACCCCCAGCTGCCATCCTCAAAGGTGGGCACTGTCAAGGGACTCTGACATCCCTGTAGATGGTCTATGTAAATGTAAGCACATGTAGATATATACCACTGGACCTTATACTTTGACGCAAATGGTAGCAAACCACATACTGCTCTCAACACCTCTCGGAGTTCAAGCACTAACAGTACATACAGAGTAACTTGACTTCTCATAGCTGCAGAACAATGTTACCAGGTTAAATTTGTTTCCTTAACCAGCCACCTACTTACTAATGGACTTCCAACACTACTCTACTGTAGCCATTTCTCCAGTGATTATGTGTGGCGGCATTGCGGGGCACTACTAAGTCCCTCCTACACCAAGATAGAGAAATTAACGACTTACCTAAAGTCTCAGTTAATAAGTCACAGATACCAGGATGGGAACCCAGGTCTGTTCAAGTAATTTGTCCGTGACCATGGCTTCCTTGGACTGACGGACGTCCCTTCTCTGCTGCCAGGGCACGATTTTGTCATCAAGCACCTACTTGTGCTAGGTTTCCTCACGGGACATGAGCTCAGGTCTCCAGCAGTTTAATTTCCCCAGGACCTTGCATACAGCATGAATGCAGTGAATGCATTGACTTACTGGTTTTTGAATGAACCATGGAATAAACTCCAAAAGTCTCTTGACAGGTAAACCAAAGATCCAACATGACCAGCATGTAAGGGGGATATTGAACAGATATACACGTATGTGACTGTCAATGTGTATATGTATGTACTAGGGAGCAATCTCTACATATTTGGAAAGATTTTCAGGAAATATAAAGAGGAAAAATTAAAGTTGCAGAATGATATGTATAATACGATCATAGGGATAAAAAAAACTGTAAAACTATGAACCTCACTATGAAATTTTCCATGTATCCATAGAGGAAAAAAGTCTGGAAAGACCCACGAATGGAGGTTATCTTTGAGAAGGAAAATTACATGTGGGCAATGATTTCATATTTATAGACCTGTAATATTTGATTATATTTTACAAAGTGATATTTCTATATACATATTAAATCGGTACCTTTCAAACTAGCACTTCTACTTCTTGTAGTGATTTCTGAAAACATTTATGTCATTTCTAGGGTCTGTCTATTAAAAACAGTACAGCCATTTCCTTGAACATTTATATTTTCCTACACATGTCCAAAATAAATGTCCAATCTCAGGAGAAAAACTCAGTAAGTTGCTGTATATTTATATAATGAAATGTCATGCAATTAATGGTGTACATCCATATATACTGATTTAAAAAAAACTGTTAGTAAAATTACATTTCTGTGCAGAAATTATACACATAGAAAGAAAGTATCTAAGGATACATACCAAATAGTTTAAAAGTATTAATAATTAGGATTATGGTGATTTCATTTTCTTAGCTTTTTGCACTTCTAAATAAATGAGTATGGATCACTTGCATAACCAGAAAAACCAAAATTACTTTCACTTGAGGTTAAACAAAACCAGTCTGCAGGCTTCTTGTTTAGATTGTTGAACATCTTACGTACCATGCAGTATGGGAACAAGTTCAAGGCAGAAATGGGATGTATTACTAGACAGGGCATCCCAGCCTCACAGCAGGAAGGGAAGTGGTGCTCTTACCCACTATTCAGCTGAGCCACAGAAAAAAAAATTAAATCAAGAGAACGGCATGGTCTGCTGCAGGTTAACAAACTGAGCACAAAAACAAACTCCCTTTTACTCCAGTGAGTAAGAGATCTGGGTAAGGGGAACAACTAGATAGATGACACATTTGTCTCAAAGCCAAAGATGGGACAGGGCATTTTGAACAGATGAAGAAGGGAAAGAGAAGAAAATGGAAAGAGTGAGGACCAGGTGAAGTGCACTAGTGAGGCAACCTCAGGGAGGGAGCCCCCAGCTTGAGATCAGCCACAGCTGGAGCTCACCTGGGCTCTGGCCACTGGTCAGTGGGTTAGGGTATGGACCCTAAGAAAAGAATACCTAGTTTCCAATTGTGACTATCCATTAACTCAGTCGGGCTGACCATTCTTATTAAATGCCTGCTGTGTACCAATGCCTGCACAGACAAGATACTGGGAGATGCATGACAAATGCCGCCACGAGCTCCCTGCTGGGCGCAGGAGGGTGGATGGAGAAGGGGTGGAGACCTGGAGGGGGAGCAACTGGAGGTGGGGATGCTTGAGCTGAGCCCTGGAAGGTGCACGGGCTCTGTCCTGCACAGAGGGGAGTGGGTGCTGGGGGGCCACGTGCCCTGTCCAAGCACGGAGCAGAGACCTGGGAGGGCTCTGGTTGGGAGTCACTGCTGGGAAGGGGAGGACTTTGGTGCAGACGGAGAAGGTTCCAGCTCAGGGTCCCTTACAGGCCATGCTATTCACTGCACTCTTGTCAACTTTTCATTGAGACGAGGGTAGTAAGATGAAGAGCTCTAAAGTCTCCTCTGGCTTTTCCAGTGGGAGGCAGGTTCAGAATCTAACACCAGAAGCATCTCTGTGAGCTACTAGGTGAGACGCCTAATCAGAAACTAAATTATCCGAGAGAACTGGTGAACGGGGCAGGTCTGCAGAAAGCCCTGGCAGAAGCATGGGGAGCCAGCAGGCACTGCACCTTGGCGAAGATTCCCCCTTAGAGCCCACAGCCCGCCACCACTAGGTGGTGGGGCAGACCCTTCTCTCAGAGAACCTCCTGCCCAGATAAATGCCCTGCACTCCTTTCCCTGGACTGTTAGAACGGCCCCAGACTTGGCCATCTTTCTTCTTTTGAGTTTTAAACTACAGACCTAAGTCTACATGCATTTGTTGTTTTAAGAGTAATTTAAAACTTAAAAACAAATTGATGTACATGATTTAAAAAAATTCACTAGCTCAGAGGGGTTATAAGGATTACCTCCCGAGGGGACACCATGGCACTAGTTCCCCTAGTGGTCGCCCCCGTATCTCTAAGGAATAAGCTTACGCAGCTCTTTCCTGGCTTAGCCGTTTCAGTTATTGTGTAGACGTCCTCAGTGACACCACACCCATCTCTCTTAATAGTTCTATCACTGTTTTTGTTTAAATTAAAACCCGTGCTGTGCACCCTGACTACACAAACAGTTCACGAGGGTCAGGCAGTGCACTGAGATTGCGTCTCCTTCTTGCGGAGCTTGTTGGCTTTGCAGTTTCTGACGGTCTTTTCCTGCTTCTTGGCATCACCTGCCTTCACACCCTCAGCGTTTTCTGACTTTCCATCATGTCAGACATTCTATCGAGTCCCTGCTTTTCTTGTGCCTAAAGCTCTTGGACTGCCTGAGGTCTAGACCCTAGACTGACTGTTGCCCAAGCCTGTTGCACGGCTCCCATTCTGCAATATACCCTCACTACACATGGTGTTGAAATGTGAGGACACCTATCATTTTGTTTGACTGCCTGGCTTCTGAAGTGTCCTTCCTATGGTCAGGAAGCTCCCCACTTAGTCTTGGTGGGGGGCACAGCAACCTTTGCACCACGGATGCCGACTCCCAGCGCTCTCACCCAGCTTCCTGGACTTACTCTGGGGCTGTTACCTAGGCTAAGATGGGCACCCCCCCCCATCCTGGACTTGGAATCTGGAGCTGTCCCTGCAAAGAAGCAGACCCATGGTGACAGCTGTGGGGGACCAGGCATGGCCAGCATTGCTGGGCTTGTTCTGTCGTCTCACATTTTGGCTGTAGTTTTGGGTACCGATCCTTCCTGCTC